CCTTTTGATTTGCCAACTTTGAAAAAACTCGCACGCCTATAAATTGTGGGCCGTTGTCACATACGATTTCCTTTGGTACGGCGAATCGGCATATGATATTTCGCCAAATAAAATCTCTTACCTCTTTTTCTCGTACTTGTTTAAAAGCACCTGCTTTTACCCACTTAGTAAAGTAATCAGTGAGTACTAGCAAAAATCTTACCTTGCCTTTTGCTTGTGGTAGTGGACCCACGATATCCATCCCCCACTTCATAAAAGGCCACGGTGCAATGATTGAATGTAACAATTTTGCGGGTCTATGCATATTGTTACTGTATCTTTGGCACTTGTCACATTTAGCTACAAAGTTTTCCGCTTCTTCTTCCATTTTGGGCTAATAATAGCCTGCTCTAATCATGGTTTTCACTAAAGATCTTCCTCCCGCATGATTTCCACAATGTCCCTCGTGTATTTCTCTCATCATATAATCTGTTTGAGAAGGTCCGAGGCATCTTGCTAAAAGACCACCGAACATTTTACGATAAAGATTGCCTTGCTTTAAACAGTAGCGAGCAGCCTTTTTGCGAACTGAGTGAGCTTTTTTCTTGTCTTCATCGACAGTTCCATACTGCAAAAAAGCGACAATCTTGTTCCTTCAATCCCAGGTTAAATTATTAAAATTTACCTCATTTTTATCTTGATCGAATACTGAATGGAATAGATGTATTACAAAAGCATTTTCATCATTTGTTACTTCTGCCGCGAATGCAAGATTAGCTAAGGCGTCTGCCTCAACATTCTCCTCCCGTGGTATCTGCACAACTTTCCAGGTTTGGAATTGTCTTATCAGATCTCGTGCCTTCTCCAGAAATTATTGCATTCTTGCCTCCCTGGCTGTATAAGTCCCCAGCATCTGATTAACTACAAGCTGCGAATCGCTTTTGATTACGACCTGCTCTATGCTAAGTTCGCGTGCCAGTTCTAAACCTGCAATCACAGCTTCATACTCTGCTTCATTGTTAGTCACAGGATGACATTTTATAGCTTGTCGTATGGTTTCACCCGTGGGTGGTACTAAAACAATTCCCAGACCTGCTCCTTTCATATTTGATGAGCCATCAGTAAATAAAGTCCAGGTTCCTAGATTAGATCCATTGAATACTTGTAGTTCTTTTTCTGCTTCTAGTTGCATTCCTTGACTAAAATCTGCCAAAAAGTCTGCTAACACCTGTGATTTTATTACAGTTCTAGGTTGATATGTGATGTCATATTCACTTAATTCTATGGCCCACTTGGCTAACCTACCCGATAGTTCCTGTTTGTGTAATATATTACGCAAGGGATAAGCAGTCACTACAGAGATAGGGTAGAATTGAAAATAAGGCCTTAATTTTCTAGATGCAATGATTAATGCAAGTGCAAGTTTTTCTAGTTGAGGATATCGTGTTTTCGCATCTAATAACGATTTGCTAACATAATAAATTGGAGACTGTTTACCATGGTCTTCACGAACCAAAACAGCACTTACCGCTACTTCTGAAACAGCTAGATAGATAAGCAACCTTTCCCCATCTTTTGGTTTTGCGAGCAGCGGTGGATTTGACAGGTACGTCTTCAAGTTTTTGAGTGCTTGTTGACACTCCTCAGACCATTCGAACTTATCTTGTTTTTTAAGAGCTGAAAAGAATTTAAAGCATTTTTCTGAAGATTTAGAAATAAATCTCCCCAAGGCTGCAATTCTTCCCATTAGTCTCAACACTTCCTTCTTATTTGTAAGCATGTCAGGAATTTCTTCAATGGCTTTGATCTGCGCGAGATTTACTTCAATACCACGGTTAGAAACAAGAAAACCCAAAAACTTACCTGATGAGACGCCAAATGCACATTTCTCGGGATTTAGCTTCATATTGAACTTTCGTAAGATCTGAAATGTATCAAACAAATGTGATATATGGTGCCCTGATTGTTGAGATTTGACAAGCATATCATCTTTGTAAACTTCCATAGTTTTTCCTAGATGTTCCTGAAACATCTTGGTCACCAACCTCTGATACGTGGCACCAGTGTTTTTGAGACCAAAGGGCATTACTTTGTAACAATAAGTCCCCTGTCTATTATAAATGAAGTTTTTTCCTCATCTAGGGGATCCATTTTAATCTGATTATACCCTGAATATGCATCTAAGAAGCTTAACAATTCATGTCCTGCAGTAGCATCAATCAGTTGATCTATATGTGGTAAGGGAAAGGAATCTTTAGGACAAACTTTGTTAAGGTCGGTGTAGTCTACACAAACTCGCCATTTGCCATTCTTTTTTGGTACTACTACAGTATTAGCTAACCAATTAGGATACTTTACCTCGCGGATAGAGCCTATTTTTAAAAGTTTTTGGACCTCATCTTGAATCACCTGATTTGTGAAAAACCCCTGCTTTCTCTTCTTTTGTTTGATAGGTGGATATGATGGATCCTCATTTAGCTTGTGAGTCATTACCTCCGGGGGTATCCCTGTCATATCAGAATAGGACCAAGCAAAGCAATCTACGTTAGTTTTCAAAAATTCGATCAACTTACCTTTTATTTCGTGGCTTAAGTTGGCCCCAATGTAAACTTTCCTCTCAGGCTTTTGTTCGAATAATTCTACAGCCTCCAATTCTTCAATCGTTGTTTTGATATTTTTATTTTCTTCTGGTTCTTGGATGAAATCAGGTCGTGAGTCCACATCTGTTTTCCCATCTCCGGTTGAGTTTTGTGGTGTGGCATCCTCAACTGGATTCTGTAATTGCTATTTTTCTTCTTTTTTTGTGCTTGAATCTTCTACAGAGTTGATGCTTCTAGGTGTTTATTGATCACCACGGATTTGACGGATTCCCCATTGTGATCGGAATTTGATGACTTGATGTAAGGTAGATGGCACAACATCCATTTCGTGAATCCATAGTCTCCCGAGAATCATATTGTAAGCCATATCCATCTCTACCACCTGAAATTTCGTATCTTTGATAACTCCTTCTGCGAATGTTGTAAGTATTACTTCTCCTTTTGTTACGACGCTTGAATTATCAAAGCCAGATAAAGTATGCGCCTTGGGTACTAGCTTTTCAGCTTGCATCTCGCTTAATACTCTTAGCAAAATGATGTTCACGGAGCTACCTGGGTCAATCAAAACTCGTTTTTACGTTAGTATCATGTACAAGTAGAGATATTACCAGTGCATCCTTGTGTGGAGTTGGTACCCGTCCGCGTCTGCATCATCAAATGTAATGCTTTCTTCCTCTAAAACATGTCGGACCCGCTTCCCGTGTGTAACTGTAACTATAGAAATTTTCTTGGTTGTCGTATATGTCACACCGTTAATTTCTTTGCCCCCGCTTATAATGTTAACGGTCCTTTCCAGAGAAGGAGGTTTAGGTGGCTCCTGCCTGTTCTTCATGAATGCTTGTTTACCTTTTTCGCTAAATAGTTCGGTAAGATATCCTTGCTTTAATAAATGGTCTACCTCACCTCGTAGCAATCTACAATCTGCCGTTTTATGACCATGATCGTTGTGAAATTCACACCAGTGATCAAGGTTACACCTATTTGGGTTTGATCTCATTTTTTTTAGCCACCGCACCTTATTACCCATGTTCCTTAATACCGCTGCTAATTCTGAAATGCTTACATTGAAACTGTAACCGCCAATCATCGCCTTAGAGCTTCTATCATCACCGCGTGTCCCGCTCTTTTCTGAACTTAGAAGATGAACTTGTTTCTCTATCTCTCGCCCTATGATCGTACCTTGAGTTATCCTGTTTCGATCGTGAGTCTTTTCCCGCTGGTCCCATGTAAGGCATATCTGTTTTTCCCGGACCTTTTTTCAGTTTCAGCATGTCTTGAACTTACTCTCTCTTCTTTTTAAAAATGGATAATAGTATCTTCTTCTATTCGCATCTTTGTGCTGTATCTATGGTAAACATCATTCCAGGTTGTGGCTGGAAATTCTCGTAGGCTTTCTTTGAGTCGTCTCGTGGCCTCTGAACTTTTCTCATTTAGATTGCTGGTGAATGCCATAGCTGTCCAATTATAAGGTACGCGTGGCAACGTCATCCTTTCCCGCTGGAATCTATCTACGAATTCTCTGAGCAGCTTCGAATCTCCTTGCTTTATTTTGAAAATATCCTCCATTCTTTTTTCGACTTTTTGATCTCCCGAGTGTGCTTTAATAAATGAATCTGCAAGCTCGGCAAAGGAATTTATAGAATTTTCGGGCAAAAGAGAATACCATGTTAGTGCTCCCTTAGTGAGTGTTTCACCGAATTTTTTGACCAGCACCGATTCAATTTCCTGTTTGGTTAAATCGTTGCCCTTTACGCCAGTGGTGAATGCAGTCACGTGGTCTCGTAGATCAGTTGTGCCGTCATATTTTAGGATGTCAGGCATCTTGAACTTCTTCGGAATCGGCAAAGGAGCATCACTGGGTTTTCAAGGTTGTTGCGAATATTTATCTATATCTATTCCCTTGATTATGGGCGGTACACTAGGTATTTGCTCTATGCGATCGCTTTGCTCCTTAAGCTGTTTCTGCAAGGTTAATACTAAATTTTGCAAATCAGAATTAACTGTGTTACCTGGCTTGCCATCACGAGTTTCGCTGGGAGTTCCACCACTGCCTGAATTAACGAGCCCAGAACGTGGGTTTTCCAAAGTATTATTGTTAGGAGTTGGTGTTGGTGATGCTACCGGCAACTGGCTGGCGAAAGCCTCAAGAGCTTTGCTAACCTGTTGAGCGATTAACTTCTGCAAAACTTCGTTGATAGCCTCATCATTTTCTAATTGAGCATTTGTATTTGATTGAGATCCATCAGGAGTTCCTTCCTGAGATTGTCGAGGAGAGCTTGGTGGGGAAGGGGTTGGGGTGTGAGCATCTTGTGGATTCTCCTGGAGTTGATGGATTCTTTGGTCGTTCTCATTAACATTTGACATGGTTGGTATGACGAAAAAGGTTAATTTAGGAAAGAATAGATTATCAGATTCACGGCAATGGAACCAATTTGTTTAACCAAAAATAAGGATTTTGATCAAAGCTTATTTCAAGAAGAACTCGGGTTACTTGATAATCAAATAAAAATAGGAATAAATGATGTAAAGAATAGCTGAATAGAAAGCAAAGTAAATATGTATATTCTAATAGTCTTTCGTGTCCTTACAAATGATCAACTTTCCCCCTTTTATAGCTATCTCTAGGTAATACGTTTCGTTTCGGTCATAATAGAGCCATTATTGACAATCAATGACATTTAATGTAACGTTATAAATGGTAATCATATTTTGATTTAATACAGATTCCCTAACGTTTTCCGTAATTAATGTCTATTGATTACTGACAATACGTATCTATACCCTTTTTTGCTATTAGGTTCATTCTCTTAGCTCGACCTTCAATCATAAAGAGGTCCGAGCATTTATCTTTCTTGAATCTCTTGAATTCCTGCCCGTGTCTGTTGTAGCTCGTGCCTCTTTAACTATTCTTTGCCAATTGTCATCCTTTGAACATTCTATGTGTCGTGACATGTCACTTTTCAATCAATTCTATATATGAACTTAATTTTTCCCAATACAGGTATCATTCAGGGCAATCTTATTATAATATAGTACGTGCTTTAGGTTTAATAACTTTTAGTTATAAATAAATAAATAAAAAATAGCGCGCACAATTCTATTTATGGGAGTTTTTTTTTCTTCAAAATTTAGTTGCTTTTCAAACTCAATAAAGAAAGAGAGATATTGCAGTATATGGACCACCTTCTTAAAAATATTCTGATTACGATAAATTTTGAAGTGTATAATGTATTCATCGTAACGAATATCATCCGTGTATGTGCTTTATCAGCAGCGGAATAGAGTGCTAAAATGAGTAAACTAATTATGAATTAAGGCATAAATTTAAAGATTGATTAAAACAAATTTTATAAAAACATTTTTAAACATGTCTCGTAGCAGGTCGTTGAGTAAATTTTATGGGTGGTTATTCAAATTTGTGTTCATTACCCAAAAGTCATTCTTCTTTCTTTTGTTACGTAAAAGTCATTTAACTTTGTGTTCATCACCCAAATGTCACTTTTTTTTTATTACACAAAAATCATTTTACTATGCTCTAGTTATCACAATAATCACTTTGACCAAATTTTACAAATCTTTCACCTGAAAAGTCTATTATGCCATTGACAATATAAATCCTCTCATTTATGTAATACCTTTTATATTATATGTTATATAATATACTTTTACCCAGATATTTTACTTATATTTAAAATTAATTTAATATTATTTATTTATTCTTTTGATTCGTACATTTAATTTTTTCTTAATATTAATTTTTAAGATATATAAGTAGCATTATTAAATTTTTCAGTAACATTACCGTGAACCAATCTCAAGTCCACGTTCTTAATCGTGCTTAATGAAGTATGTTTAATAAAAATTAAAAAATCAAATCTCATTGATTTATCAGCCAAGCTATACCCATTAATTTAATAAATAAAAACCTGCATTTAGCAAAATAACATATCAGATTAGTACTTTCAAATAAATAATATTAATAGATAAAGCTTTAAAAAACTTAATATTAACACAAATATCTTTGAAACTTCTTTTAAAGTGTTTATTGACTATAAAAAAAACTATCATTTGCTAAACAAATCAATTTTTATTATTTTAAATAAATATTCTTTTATCATTTTTATATTTAAAATATGTTTATATTGTTTGAATATGATTAAACAAATTGAGTGCTCTGAAAAAAAAAATGTATTGATATATTAGAAAAATAACAAATAAAATAATTTAAAGTTATTTTAATTATAAGGAAAATACCTAGGCAAAAATATATTATATAGTATATAATATAGAAGGTATTACATAAATGAGAGGATTTATATTATCAAGGACATAATAGACTTTTCAAGTAAAAGTATGATAAATAGAGCAAAGTAAAATAGTTTTTGTATAAAAAAAAAATTAACTTTTGGGTAATGAACACAAAGTTGAATGATTTTTACGTAACAAAAAAGAAGAAAATTGACTTTTGCGTAATGAACACAAAGTTGAATAACGGCTCATAAAATTTACTCTAGGTCGTTATCAAATGTCTTTGCTCTCCTTTAATAATTTTCTACTTTCGGTTCTTTTTTTTTTTTTAAATCCTAGGGACTAGGACGGGTCCAAAACTTATTTGTCAGCCATTGTTTATATTCGTGTTTTTGGTTGGACTTGTACAGAAACAATTTAGTTAAAGCAGAATATGTTATAAAGCTTATGGTAAAACCAAGGATCCTCATGAGTCATGTTGAACCTCAAAAATGAACTTTGTTTAAGTTTGTCACTACTTAATTAAGATTAAGGTTGAGTACAACCAAGAAAGAAACCGCCAAAGGATGTGGTGCAGTGGATGAGACTGTTATTCTCTTAACCAGAGGTTTCGGGTTCGAGCCCTGAGTATGGAAAAATCCTTGGTAGGGAGCGCTTCCCCCGAAAGGGGCCGTACGCGGCGCGAATCCGGATATAGTCGGGCTTCAATGCGGGTACCGGACACCGGGTGGGAAACCCAAAAAAAAAAAAAAGAAAGAAAGAAAGAATAAGAACATTGTTGTTTTTTCTGAATACATGGAAAGCAATAACGTCATTACTCGTCTTCTAATGATAATAATTGGGTAGCTCTTGTAAGATAAGTAAATAAATAAATACACTAAAGATCGTAAATATCTCACGTGTTAGTTGCAACAAAATTTAAACAACGCATCGTCCGTATATCAAATGCCTTCATTTTGATTCAGGCGATCAAGAATAAAGAATTTGCGGCTAGATGGAGTAAAATGACAGACTCACTTCCTACATTCGTAGTAGTACTAACAACTAACATAGCTAGCTTGGTGTTAACTGATATTAGATTAGACATGTCCAGACCTTTCTACTTAACAGAGGAACATAGGCTTTTGGTTCCTTTGTTTTATGTTTTTCTTTGTGGTATTAATCTACGGGTAGGGGTCTGCATAAACCCCAACAAAAATGCATTTCTGAAGAAAAAAAAATGCATCCTACAGACTAGGAATCCATAATTCCATAGTAAAGTTATCATCACATCATAGGTGTAGCAGAATTTAAAATTTTTGATTTCTGAACTTATTAAGATTTAAAATTTATGAGTTGTGAACTTATCACCGAATTTAAAACTTATTTTAATTACTGGGTTCACAATTTTATATAATAATAATAATAATTAAAAAAAAATTGTTTGTATACATATTTATATACATATTAGTTCTTTCATACAAATGTTAGTTCTAGGCGATATACATATTTATATACATATTATACATAAATTATATTTATATTGTATATCCTCTGACTATTTTTAATTTAGTGCCCGTTTGGATTGGCTTATTTTAAATGCTTTTAAGCCAAAATAACTTTTAAACCATTTTGTAGTGTTTGGATAGAGTAAATAAGTGCTTTTAAGCCTTATTTTTAAGCTAAAATGACAAAAACAAACCAAAAGCCAAAAGCTATAATTCCTAACTTATGGCTTAAAAGCTATTTTGGCTAAAAAACATAAGTAGACAGTATTTAAGAAAATTTAGCAGAATCATGGCAGTAGAAAGTAATTAACAAAATGGCATCTAAGTAATTAACAAAAGTAGCACATAATTAATGTCAATCCTTAAAAGAACCGTAACATTTTTTGCTTATTTGTAGGAACTAATTTATTATTTATCCGTAAATCCTTCGAATCTTTTATAGTTGTTTTTGTCTATTTGTAGTGATTTCTCTTTTAATATTCATCTTTTCTTTTCTTCTATTTAGACTCTCTTATTTTCCATAACAGAAATTATACATATTCATTCAAGATTATAGGAGTCAAGTTACTAACATACTAACTCTCCTCTTTTCTGACCGTTTATATTCCTTTTAATTTTGTTTTTAAGTAAAACAAATTGATATAGTATTTACATAATATTCATAGTATAATTTACATTATATTCTTTTATACAAATATATATTGATGGAACCTGAATTTACATTATATTCATGGTATAATTTCAGTTAATAATAATTTATTTTATTGAAGGGATATTAAAATTATATAAACCTTTTACAATATAATATATTATAAATATAGTAAATGTATATTTTGCTAAAAAAATAAAACTGTCCAACATAAAAACAAATTATTGAAAAGAACTACCAGAAATCCCCTTTGTATAAATATACTTCAGAGGTATAATTTTTATTATAAAACATCGTATAAATAAGATATGTTTTTAATTCAAATGTTGTTATGTAATATTTTGGTATATTATAAGTATAAGTATATATAATTTATACTTAACATGTCATATTTTAAATCAGACATGTTGTATAAAATATTTGGAAAAATTTGCCATACTGATGAGCAATGACAATATATCAGAATTTTTTTTATTCTTAAACGCTTAGTCGTGTGACAAGTGATGATACTATGTATAATACACCAAATTATATATCATTGAAGAATAAAAAGTATGAGCAAGAAATATTTTGTTTAATTCTTGCGTTGGTAATTTAGTGATCGAACGGACTTCTACTGAAATAAGGGAAGACATGAATAAAAGAAAATATGGTAAGTAAACATAATCCCTTGTTTTTAGGAGGAGTTAGAAAATAAATACGTTATTAAATACTAGTACTTTATTTATATATGTTGCATTTGTAATAAAATGTGCTATTATTGGAATAATCCAAATATAGTAACATTAATATAAATACTATTTTATAAGAGCCCAACAATATAAATTAAGCCCATCCAAACGGGCTCTTAAGCAATTGAGTGTACGGTAACAAAAGTTACATCTGTATGGGCCATAAACTCTTGAGCCATCAATTGCAATTTGGAGGTGTATAATATATCGGAAAATTACCAGCTATGTCCTGTTATTACACTGTATTTGTAAAATAAATTCTGGAAATATAAATGAATATAAACAGTAATGAATATAAACAGAAATGACATAAACCAATTCGAGCCCACTGAATTCACAGTGTTTCCTTAAGGAATTTAATCCCCTCCTAGTACCCAAGGTTATGGATTATTTCCTCCCAGGATAGAACGAATTACACACTGGTGTAGTGGTACTTCAAACCCCAGTGTTTCAGCGAACACAAAGTTCGGTAGCAAATCACACTTACTTTTTGCTTTGTTTTGATGCTAAAAGTATGCAGAAGAAGGAGAGGAAACTCAGAAAATTGTAGTTAAAATTCTGAGCAGAATAGTGTTGTATTTATAGCCAAAGTTGGGTCTCTTCAGAATGGCTGTTTATGCAAAACGCCCACAACATAAATGCCATTACATAAATGGCCATTTACTCAATAATAAAGAGGGAAAATAAAGAGGGTAGTTACTTTTCTGTTACCAAAACAGAAAAACGGATTGGATTTAATATTAATATTTTGTTATTAAAACAAATATTTAATAACATTTCTGTTAATATTTTACTATTAACAAATAAATTTGGTCCAAAAAGTTAATCAATCAATCGATCAAATCCGAAGCCGAAGCCGAAGCCGAAGCCGTAGCCGAGCGAGCGACGACGACGACGGCGCGAGGCTTGCCTTCTTCTCAACTCTTTAAGAGCTAGAAGAAAAGCAATTGCTTATATACCCATAAAAAACCTCTTCCTCTTCCAATATGGGACAATGCCCATTTGCCAAGGGAGGGGGAACTTAAAATTTCACTCAAAAATTTCATTTCCCTCCATTTCCCATTCACCCTCTTTTAAGTATTTAATATATTAATTAAATACCTTAAAAACCCAACAGTTACTAGGGCTGAAGTGAATAGAGAGTTTAAGGTGGGAAATTAAGTACTTCAATTTGAAACTATTATGGAATTTTAAGCTATATATGCTCTCTACTATGGGTGTCAAATGGACAAGAGTCAAAATTGAGACTCTTTAAGAGTCAAATATTTGAATAAGGTCAAGTAACAAAAGAGTGGGTAATGATTCAACTAATGCAAAATTTGCTTGTCGAAATGAATTAGGTCAAAGTTTGATACTCCTGAGTCATATAATGTCACACAAAGAAAGGAAAAAGAAGGGTCAATACCAAAATGGGAAATCAGTATATATGTGGTGGTCTCTCTTTAATCTTTTGTGTTCTTTGGATTTTAATTCTCTGAGATAAACTCGAAAATTAAATGAACAGGTTAATTAGTGTTCAGTTATAGCTTTGCTTAATTTCTTTCTCTCTTTTTCTTTTGGGGGGCTGAAATAATTTTACAAATTTAATGGGAAATTAAAGCATGGATAAATACCCATATATTGTCAAAATTATGTTTCCGCGATAAACACAAGAATTCTCCTGCATAATTGAGCAGACTTCTATGAGCTTAGGGGATATAAGTTAATATATATATATATATATATATATATAAGTGAGTCCCCATATATATATAGAGTAAGTATTAATTTCTTTTTTCTCGTCTGTCTTTTTCAAATAAATAAGCAAGAAAAAGGTAAAAATAGCACGGTCTAGCCAGTTTTCGGACTGGTCATTCAAAAATAGCCAGCGTTTACCAAGTCAATGAAAAATAACCACTATTTTGCTGAAACAGAGATCGGTCCAGCATAATATACTGGAGTTCGGTGCAACTGTGTATGAACTTCCAGCATATTATGCTGGAACTCCAACACACGGAAAGTTCCAGCATAATATACTGAGATTCGAGCACTTGTGTATGAACTTCCAGCATATTATACTGGACCGGTATACTTTGCTGGAACTCCGGTATATTATGCTGGAGTTCTAGTGTACTTATGCTGGAACTCCATCATATTATGCTGGAGTTCAAGTATACTTATGCTGGAACTCCAGCATAATATACTGGCATATTTTTCGGGTTTTGAACAGTGTTTTCGCTCAGATTTATCTTTACATGAAAAGTGGCTAAATTTCGATTACTTTTGAAACTGGGTTATTTTTGAACGACCACTTGTAAATTTGGCTATTTTTGAATTTCTCCCGAGAAAAAGACCTCTAATAAATTGGCTAGGTACATGATCAACCATATATATAATTGGGCCTGTGACTGACAATTTAATTCCAAGGTTTAAATATTAATATTTTGTACTTTCTTTATACCCCATCAACTGAATTTTCATCACTTAAAAGATGAAGTTTTGTTTAAAAATAATGTATTTCTGAAAGCGAAATCTAGGGTGTTTTTTTCCTTAAAATTGATACTAAACGGGAAGAATTTTTTTAAAATTACACATAAGGGGTAGAGGTAGGTGTAGGGGTAGGGAAACAGAAAATAGGTGAAGAAATTTACAAAATGAAGAATCGAACTTTTACTAACAAGGTACCACTGGAGCATGTGCATATTTCAGAAATATCTCAATAATACATGCTTATTATCAACAGTTAGTTTCACAACTTCTTTTAATAAATAAAGACTTATTATTTTGGTGCAGAAATTAAATTTCCACATAAACTCTTTACAAGTTTCACCAATTTCAATGATAAAACTAATAGTTTAAGTTTAATTTACAAACGCTGTAAACTCATACTCAATGTACATAGAGTCCGTTTGGCTTAGCTGATTTAGAGTAGCTGATAAGCATATGTGCTGAAAAATATTTTTAAGTGCTGAAACTGATTTAAAAAATAAACAGTTACGTGTTTGGATAAAAGTGCTGAAATTAATAATAAGCAGCTAAAAAATTGGGTATACAAAGAGTTTTATTTTAAAAAAAGTATTTTAGGGATAGAATAGTAAATATTTTGGTCAAACCTAAAGTGCTTATAAGCTGAAATTTGATAAGTTGGGGGAGACCAACTTATGGCTTTTGGCTTATTTTTAGCTTATAAGCACTTAACTTATAAGCACTTTTAATTTTACCAAACGCGTAGATAAGCCAAAAAGTGCTTATAAGCCAGTTTGACCAGCTTATAAGCTTAGCCAAACACCCTCATAGTTTTCTGCTTATTTTTTATGTCACCGGATTATAAACATTTTTAGTAGTAAATAACATCTGAACATTCAATTCAAAGTCTTACTGCTAATTATAACAAACATAATTCTGTAAATTTGAGTTTGACTTTGATATTGATCACTTTATTATCCATTTCAGTGGACGAACTGGGAATTAAAGAATTGATGCCAGCTTATCTTGATCCTAATTTGCAACCTGAAGATCTTAAAACTGGAGTAAGCTTTGCTTCAGGAGCTACTGGATTTGATCCTCAAACACCTGCCCTTGTGGTATTTTACTCACTTTATCTTGTTAGGGTATAAATCTTTTTTATAAAATGTAAAACTATATCAGTTAATCCATTTTATATGACACTTAATATTTGAAAGATCATGTAATTCCTTTTTTTTTCGTCTTTCTTAAATTTTCTGAGCAGTTTTTTAATTTCTTATAAAGATTCTTAAATTTTCTAAGTCGTTTTTATTAATTATAAAGACAAACACTTTATAGAACCTTTTCATGATCTTTAAGCATATAATAACAATTCCATTTTTCAATATTTAAGAATTTATGTCAAATTCATAATGAAATTACATAATTTTATCTTCTTCCTATTTTTCTCCCCATTCGGTGTTCCATACTTGCATTGAGGCCCGACTAAATCTGAAAAAAACCCCATATTGAATAAAGCGCTTCCTAACAAAGCCAACTTCATAATTCAGGGCTCGAACCCACATCTTTACTTAAGTACAAAGGGGTACTATTGTAATAGTTTAGGACAAAATTGTCCATCCATTTTTACTTATCCATTATACTAAAAATATATTTTTACTTTTATTTATTCAATGAAGAGTAAGATAATTTTTTTTTCTTTATATTTTACCCTTATCATTAATTATTTTTTTTCCAAATTACTTCTCAAAACCTTCTGAAATATTATCATTATTTTGAATATTATAATAAAATATATAATTTATTTATTATTTTTAAAGGGAGGACAAAGTTTACGGTGGACAAGTAAAAGCCAAGTTCCCACGCAAAATTGGCAATTGGCCCTTTCTCCTTTTTTCTGTTTTGAATTGAGGGTACTGTATTTGTGGAAACTAACAATTAGAATTCCCGCTTTATTTTGGAAATTTCAGTCAGTCATACCTCTGTCAAAACAATTAGATCATTTTAGAGAATATATTGGGAAGCTGAAGCAATTAGTTGGAGAAGAAGAGGCGAACGACATATTGAGGAATAGCGTGTTCTTAGTGGTAGCCGGAAGCGATGACCTGGCCAACACCTACTTCACCGTCGGAATTCGCCGGCTGCAGTATGATGTTAACGGATACACTGATCTTATGGCCGCCGGAGCTTCTGAATTTATCCGAGTACGTACATCTATTTCATCATCTTAATTATATTTACTCTCTTTAATTCTGCTTCCTAAATGTGTAGGTTTTTTTTTAATTGCAACAAGTAATTTGATCCTATTAATTTGCTCGGGTTAAATTGATCGTTCCTTGATAAATGAGAGTCCCTTCGGGGACATCCGATTGGAACAATACAGAGAGAAGATTAGCATGCCCCCTGCGCATAGATGACACGCACAAATCGAGACATGGTCCTTGATAAATGAGAAGTGCCAAACATGAGTATTAATTACTCTCTCCGTTCCAATTTAGTGTATGACATAGTTTGACTCAGGGAGTTTTAGAAAAAATTGGACTTTTGAAACATACGGTCTTAAACATATCAATATCATAACATTTGTATGGCTATAAAAGATTCTCATAAGAGTAAAATGGAAAGCCGAAGTTAAACTGTTTCCAAATACAAAAATGTGGTATTATGTTTTGTACAAACTAATAAGAAAAGTGTGTTACATAAAGGAGTATTCTAATTCCTAAATGTGTAGGTTCTTTTAATTGCAATGATCCAATTAACTAGCTCTGGCCAGATTAATCAATCCTTGATAAATATGAAGTGTCAAACATATTAAAATGGAAGAAGTAGTAATTCTAGTATGAAAAAGTGATTCTTATAATCCAATAGTTAAACTTAGTTATGCCACAATTATTCAGCACGACCAATTCGTAGTTAAACTTGTGATGTTTGCAAATGAATGAAAAGCATGTTGTTCCACCTAGAATAATTAATCTTAGAGCTCATAACTCCAAAAATTCACTAATCTAAAATAAACTTTTCTGACTAAATTATAGATTATGTGAATGAGAAAGATTGATTATGAATATTATGTGATTCTCGAAGCCAAATATACCTGATATCTAATCAATGACTCTATGTATTTTAGTATTGTAAATTTGAAGAATTGAGCCACCTATAGAATGCTCAATTTATAATGGACGAATACATGTGTCTTCACAATTATGAGCGTTACCTAATATATATTACATTTTACATATGGTGCATCACCTTATTCTCAATTTTATTATCTGTACTTTTAGTAAACAAAATTTCTAAGTTGATCAGTCAGTTAATGTTTGTCAATCTTTTTCTCTTTCTTTTGGAAGGAACTATACAAATTGGGAGCAAGAAAAATAGCGGTTTTTGGAGTTCCACCCATAGGGTGTTTGCCTTCCCAGAGAACACTAGGTGGAGGTAAATCAAGAGAGTGTTCAGAGGAATACAATCAAGCTGCACAGTTAGCCAACACTAAGCTCTCTGCTGCAATCGATTCATTGTCCAAAAATCTCCTTCAAACCAAGTTGGTTTTCGTTGATATCTACAGTTCTCTGCTTGATCTCATTGTCAACCCTCAGAAACATGGTAAATTCAAATCTTCACTAAAGTCACATTTCTTGATTGCTTGGGGTTCTTTAAATTGTATATCAAGTTTGTCTTACCTCTGATAATCTTCAATCTTGAATATGATTTATGTAGGAACTATTTGGTACTCTAGGCGCTTAATCTTTAGCAGCTCATAACCTACAGTGGAACTACTAAATTTCCATTAAGCATATTATTAGGAAGGCGGTGAATTGAGCGTCGATCTATTTTAAGTTAGTGGTTGTATAAGTATGAATTTTTATATGTATATATCTATATCTATATCTATATCTATATATATATATATATATATATATATATATACACACACACACACACACCCCTTGCTCAGAAAAGTACATTGTGCTTAGAATTCTACTGCCACTATATATATATATATCAGCTATATATATAGTTTGAGAAGGAGATTGTGGATCGCCTGCGAGAATGAATATAGCTCCCGATGGGACTCATCAAGGTAGCCAGGGGTTGGGGTATAAGGGTTGACTCAAGATTATTAAAGGCCATGTAACGTTTTTTTTTTTTTAATTTGGATTAAAAAGTTATTCACATATTCTGAAAAAAGAAATGGTCTATTTATCACCATCAACAACTCAAAACGATAAAATGTAATTTTTAATTTTTCTTCTGTTGATTATATCGTTGAAATTGACCTCGTATAAAATATGAATGATGTCAGGATTTGAAGTAGTAGATAGAGGATGCTGTGGTACTGGAAACATAGAGGTGGTAATACTGTGCAACAAATACAGTGGAACATGTGAAGATGACACAAAATATTTATTTTGGGATAGTTACCATCCCACGGAAAAAGGTTACAGGATCCTTGTTGATCAGATCCTTAAAAAGTATGTCAATAGTTTGATATAAACGTGGATCGAATCAAGATCAGGATTTGCTTTCTGTAACCTCTGCAATTTACAAACATCAGAAGCAAGGTCAAAACCACTGCATTTTCGTCCAATCGTCCTTCATCTCTGGATCTTGAATGATAGAGCTTTATTTCTTACACAACATGTGTCTGTAGTCTGAGAAACTTTGCAACTCTGTACATCTCATTTCTGTTCATTACATGCCATATGTTATGGCGTTTGTGTTTTTGAGATTGAAAGAAAATCATGTTTGTGCACTTAGTTGGAATCCAATAGCTCTACTACTCTATGATTGTTCATGCTACAGTTGTACACGCTAACTATATAAATCATGTAAAATGTCTAACACGATATCTGCAATATGAAGCAAAGTCGGAATGCTCCCACTAGAAGGGACACACAATAGATCAGGGAATGCTGCCACTAGAACGGATGATAGGAAAAATAATAAGCAAAGTTTTGGATACTTTTCTCCTATTGCTAAAATGAGAGATGGACGAAACTACTTCCTCTAACTAGTTTTCTGTTACTGTCGCCTAAGGAGAAACTAGTATAAGTATATTATGAACATTGTGATGTATCCTTAAATTAATTTATCACTACCTTCGATAATTAAAAATGAAATGTCTATATTGTATAATATAAAATCGTCAATCGAATGATATATTCCAGCACTTTAAAATCTGAAACATGGATGCAAGCGACATTTAACAATAAGAACAACCTCACACCTGAAGGAAAGAAATGAGGTTCTCAGGGAACAGGTTCGCTCTGTGGTGAAGTATCATTATAACTAAAATCTCTTATCTTCCATAGAATAACTTCCTTTTGGTTCTGAGATGTATTTGTTGCTTTCTCCATTATATAGTTGATAAAAGTTGGACTTTTTATTGGTATGGCACTGCTTGGCTTTGTTTTGTTTCTTCTTTTCTCTTGGAGTTAATGTTGTCCCGAAGTTCTCTTTTTTTGCCGCATAGTGCATTCATGTGCATTTACCTTGAAGTTTCCATCTTTTTGTTCTCATCAGTTATTGCTTCTGTTTAGATTCTTTTATTACCTCGGAAGGTACTGTATTAAGTAAAAAAAAGGGCAGCCCGGTGCACTAAGTTTCTGCTATGTGCGGGGTCCGGGGAAGGGCCGGACCACAAAGGTTTATTGTACGCAGCCTTACCCTGCATTTCTGCAAGAGGCTGTTCCATGACTTGAACCCGTGACCTCCTGGTCACATGAAGCAACTTTACCAATTACGCCAACTGTAATAAGTAATATCATGAAATAAATACTTATTAAAAAAAGAATATTATGAGATAGATACAGTTTCTCTATTGAGAACCTTTTATTCATGATTCATATGAGTTACAAATAAATTTTTGACACAACGTTCATGCATGCATTGCATTGCATAAACCCATTTGTCGAACTGGTTAAGTAGCAGATGCTTGATAATGTTACCAATAGGAGACAACGAATGGACTTCGAACCTTGTACTTACCATTGGTCCATGTAATTGATCCAAAATATTCTCTCTCTCTAGATGTTGCTTTGAAAGTCACTTGAAAGCTCAGTTTCTTCGTGCTACTTGTAAATTTCAATTTGCCTGGATGCACTCGGACTCTCAATGCATCTGGTGCTGTTATGATTGCCGTGTATTCTGTTTCTTCTTCACCAAAGTTAGTTAGAGTTCTGGTAACTTGCTTGGTTTCTCTTTCCTCGGGCATAGAAACAGCTATTGATGGGTAGTTCATGTTAGACATTGATTCAGCACTTGAGTTGGTGGAGCATGAAAAACTGTCTGGAACAGTCTTTGAGATGAGTTTAACTGTTGATGTGTTATAACCAGCAGAGCAGAGGAATAACAAGTAGTCTGTGATCTCAGTCTCATAAAAACCAGGCCTGGTTCCCGTGGCCCTGACATAGTTGCTACTCCTGCACCAAAGTCATATGGGTTGGCAAGGTATTCTCCATAAGCACTGTTGACTAACATTGGAGTCTTCAAGTTGCTTTCCTGAAAAGCTATTAAAAAGAAAAGAGCGAAAAAAGAAGAAGAGAATAAGACTATTTCATAAGAGTTAGCAGTGGTGGCATCGGCATACTTTAACTATTATCAAGTTGGTACCTGTGGTCATTATAGCTGATCTGATTGCTGAAGGACTCCAGGTGGGATTTTGAGATTTCAGTGTTGCAACAATAGCAGAAACATGAGGACAAGACACAGAAGTCCCTGAGACGAAGTTGAATAGTGGTGGTTCTTGGCCAGGCTGAGCCACTTCTGTGTCATTTGCTGGCCAAGCTGCAAGTATTGCAGTCCCTGGTGCTGCAATATCCGGCTGCAAGTACATGTCAGAAACCATTCAGTATGTGATCTACTAGAAATCTGCTGTGGAGCGTCGGTTCTGATTTATAACATTTGTATGTAAGTAGTATGAGTCCTTACATTTCGTTTGGAGATATCCAATAAAATTGAGAGTTAGAAAAAAAAAGACTAGCATGGCCCTGCGCAAGGGACAAAAATCGAGCAATGGTCTAAATTGGGGGGAAAAATGAATAAGGACTGCTTACTTTTAGGAGGTTTCGAGTGTTGTATGCAGGGCCTCTTGATGAGAAGAAAGCCACAACTGGAGCTGGTTTGAAATTATCTACACTTACAGTTGGCAGAATTGTTGCCACTGGGTTCCTTTAGAAAATATGAAGGTGCAGTTAGAAATTTTCTATGTTTAGCAATTTGCTATGTTATATCAAGTGCTTGTTGATAAGTAAAGTGAGTACCTTGTCGAGTTGAGGTACGAAAGAATCTTCACGCCATCATGTTGAGTGACTACTGCCCCTGGGAAGGATCCCATGTTGGGTGCCACTATGAGTTCATCATCAGGAATAATTAATATAAATCCAATGCCGCCCTTGTTCTTCACTTCATTTAGCCTATCTTCGATTGAATAATCATCAGTGAGATGATCACAAAGAACAATTTTACCCTTGACTTTGTGTTCGTCGAGTGTATCTGGTTCACAGTTAATGAAATTTGCCTAAAGTTAGTTGCAGGTATATACAGTTTTATTTCCTAAGGAGTCCCCAGAAATTGGAACTAATGTATTTCCGTATTCCAATTACCTTGCCTCCCCGTCATACATAGTTAAGTTTGCAGATCTACTGTCCACCAGTTGATAAACTGGAGATTTCTTGAGATTACTAAAGCTAATACCTCCACCTGAAAATCAACAAGGGTACTATTGAAAGATGTTCTTGAAAAGGTAGCTTGTGTTTAGAATAACAGCGTTTTTCTTTTGAGTACCTTAATCAGCTTGTTCCCGCCCAAGGGAATATGTGTCTCAATGTTTCTGTCAATAGTTGTAGCAGCAACTGTGAAAATCCAAGGAGCAACATTGACAACAGTTTCTCGTAAAGGGCCATCATTTCCAGCAGAGGCGACGACAAAAATGCCCTTCTCTACAGCATGGAAAGCTCCAATGGCAATAGGATTTGTTGAATACTCAAACTCTGTTCCAGCTGGTTGACCAATTGATAAGTTTATGATATCAACCCCATCTGCAATGGCATCATCAAATGCTTTCATAATAGCTGATCCACTGCATCCAGAAGGCGTGCATATACGGTACACTGCAATCCTTGACCCTGGAGAACCTCCCTTGGCTGTTCCTGCTGCTAACCCGTAATAGGATGCACCTGCCACTGGACTCCCTGCTGCATTGGCTGCAACGTGAGTACCATGCCCGTCATGGTCCCTAGGTGTCCCTGTAACAGGTGTTGGAGAGTTGCCAGGGTCATCGTAAAACCTTGTGCCGATCAGTTTCCTGATACATATCCATGAATGTAAACAGTGAAACGTCTCATAAACTGATACACCTATCTAGGTACTTGGTTGGCTGACCAGGGAATAAATCTGAGCTATCACATCCAAAACCTTAAAACAATAGATATAGGTGCCGAAGAACTCTATAGAAGCAGAGGTGAATCCAGTATTTAAGATTTATGGGTTCACCTTTATATGTTTTTAGATTAAATCTGTGGCAAAACTAAAATTTTACCCAAGGGGATTCAAAAATGTTCTAGGATGTCAGACTTGGAACTTTAACAACAACAACAACAACATACTCAGTGTTATCCCACACTGTGGGGTTTGGGGAGGGTAGTGTGTATGCAGACCTTACCCCTACCTTATGAGGATAGAGAGGCTATTTCCAATCGACCCTCGGCTCAGGAAAGCATAGGCACCACATTAATGAAAATATAGACAAGAAGGGACAACACCAAAACATATAAAAGCAAAATAAAAACAACAAAATAGTAAGGTGATCAATAATGAAAGAAAACAACGGTTAGTCATAAAAACCAACTACCAACAGAAAGGACGACTGCGTGCCAATACTACTGTTATGAACACTCTAGACTACCTACCCTACTATCCTAATCCTCGACCTCCATACCTTTCTATCAATGGTCATGTCCTCGGTCAGCTGAAGTTGCACCATGTCTTGCCTAATCGCCTCTCCCCACCTCTTCTTCGGCCTACCTTTACCTCTCCGTAGGCCCTCCAATGTCAACCTCACACACCTCCTCACCGGGGCGTCTGTGCTCTTCCTCCTCACATGACCAAACCACCTAAGCCGCGCTTCCAGCATCTTGTCCTCAATAGGGGCCACACCAGCCTTGTCGCGAATAACCTCATTCCTAATCCTATCTAACCTGGTGTGCCCGCATATCTATCTCAACATCCTGATCTCTGCTACCTTCATCTTCTGGACATGAGCGATTTTGACTAGCCAACACTCCGCCGCATACAACATAGTTGGTCTGACTAGCACTCTGTAGACTTGGAACTTGTAGACTTGGAACTTGAACCTATGACTTAAAAGCAGTTTTGAATCCCTTTGACTACTATATTTGATTTTCCCTTCGTGTCAAGGGGATTAAGCAGCTTATATATATCTTAAAAAGATCATTTTACTCTATTTGTATAGAGTACAATGGGGAAGAAGGGGCTCTGAACAACTATTAGTTCAATAAGTTGTTATTTAGACCTCCTTGAGTTAAACCTTCATTTTTACCCTTTTTTTTACTCATGACATGCTAAAATGCCATCAAAAGTACATTCTTTAGGTTTTCATTTTTGGTATTCTTTTTGGTTCTTTTCACTGTTCTTTTTAGAAAGTTTCACCAAGCAAATACTTACTTGCTTTTCGTGTAAGGGATTAAATATGTGAATTTCAACTTCATACTTACTCAAGAGGCCTAAAGGGCAGCCCGGTGCACTAAGCTCCCGCTATACGCGGGGTGCGGGGAAGGGACGGACCACAACGATCAATCATACGCAGCCTTACCCTGCATTTCTGCAAGAGGCTGTTTCCATGGCTTGAACCCGGAACCTCAAGAGGCCTAATTGTCAATAATATCAAGCAATCTGGTTCCAAACATGGACAAAAGAGAAGTTCAACCATAAGAGTGACTTCATCGCTGATGTAGAGGATGAGCTTCGTGGCGTAGAAACAGTAATAAAGATAACGTTTATGCTCTCACCACCAATGAACTTCTAGTGGAATTGACTGACGCACATTGTGATATTCAAAATTGGATATAGTTTTGATCACAACAATATTTTATTCATGATTACTCTTGTTGTTACAATGATAGGTTGATAACATGATTCTGCTCATGGATTTGTAACATTGCATACAAACTTTCTGGACTACTTATAGGTCTGAAAATGTTCTCATGGATTTGTGTTAATTACTACTCACGACAAATGGACTCCGGACTTTGTACTTACCATTTGTCCAAGTAATTGATCCAAACAGATCTTCCTTTGAGGTAGATGAAGCTTTGAAAGACACTTCATAGCTTAATTTCTTGCTTTTATTTGTAAATTCCAATTTACTTGGAATCACTTGGACTTCCAATCCTGTTGGTGCCTCAATAATTGCAGTATATACTGATGCTTCTTCACCAGTATTTGTAACAGTTCTAGTAACTTTCTTCGGCTCGTTTGCTTTGAACCTATGACTTAAAAGCAGTTTTGAATCCCTTTGACTACTATATTTGATTTTCCCTTTGTGTCAAGGGGATTAAGCAGCTTATATATATCTTAAAAAGATCATTTTACTCTATTTGTATAGTGTAGTTTTCCGAGGAAGGGGATTCGATTCGAACCCCCTTGACACTACTTAGTTCCGTCACTGCATTGAACCCATTATATTTTTAAAGTTATGGACTCATGTACATTATTTTATTGCAATTTTAGTGGATTTTACATATAAATGTATATACTGCATCGAAAATACTAGTTCATATGAACATGGTAACCAAAAGCTGCACCCGCCTGCATATAAGACTTTAGAAAACTACACATAGTCATATGGCACAATAACTCAACTAAGACCATTACCTGTTGCAGTTGGAGGAATTGAAATCATAACCTTTGGTGCAAGTGCCTTTCCAACGGGATGGGACTGGACCCATACCCTTGTCATTGAAACTCTCTGATTCAGGCCATATTCCTAAACATAGTATGAGATACATTGGTTTATTAGTGTCATAAAGGAAAAACAAAGAGCAAGAAAAGTTTGCATTTTGATTCCTACCAGTGTCAAAAATCCCAATTATGGTGTCTGCTCCATTTGAGGTTGAGCTTGAACCAGAACTGTTAGGGAAACTGTGTACCAGATCATATTGATCCGTTAGAAACTCCCATGACCGCGTTGTGTGGAGTTGAAATACTGGATCAGGGAAAACAGAGATAACTCCGGGTTGCTGAGCAATCAACTGAGCTTCAGCATCTGATAAACGTGCTGCAAATCCTGAGAAACTATTTCTGTAGCTGTGCACCACTGCGTTCTTTCTCCTAATGCAATATTTATAACGTTAAAAAGATAGAACTTTTGCATGAATTACGATGGTTCTAACTTCTAGACGCAGGATTCAGGCAGAGGTGGATTTAGTATTTAAGTTCTATGAGTTCAATCTATAAGTTCTTAGCGGTTAACCCGTTGTATTTTTGAAATTATGGGTTCATGCCTACTAGCTATTTGTTGCAGTTTTTGAAGATTTTCACACATAAATATATGCTCTGCGTAAAAAATATTGGGTTCAGATGAACCTGGTGCTCGAGTATTGCATCTGCCTCGGGATGCAGGTAAGCGCAGTGTGTTCCGATGCACACATTGGCTCCAGCTCACAATATGTGTGTGTGTGTTTACACATAAATGGTTTAAAAATTCCGAAAAACATGTATTTATACTAAGTTTACACTGGATATCAAAAGGTATAGTATTTACCACCATGTCAAAATGCATCAGTGTATGTTTAAAATTACTGTACTAAATTTGAGCAAAACTATGGTATTAAATGAATTAATAAAAGTTTGTGACAAGTGATAACATTACAACCTTATCATAGTCCAGAATGTTACACATTGTTAAAAGCCAATTACCTTGTTGTGAGGGAGCTCATAAGCTGAATTTGATCATCTCTTGCGACATTATTTGATGAACCCATGTAAACAATGTAAACGCCATGGCTTTCTGCTTGAGAAGCTGCCTTGGATTCTCTTATAAAATAAACTAAGAAGAGACTAAACAAGAAAACTAAAGTAACCATTTTCATGTTTATGCCAAAACTTGATACAACTTCAGTTGATCAAAGTGTCCTTTAAATATTGCAAATTAAGAGCTTGATCTGCTCTGTGATCTTCATATCTGTTTAATAATCTTGTTTAGTGTACTCCAACGTGTACGCATTGTTAGCAGCTCAAGCAGTATTCATCAATCAGTGGAATAAGTCTAATGTGGTGGGCTATTTTTAATAATCATGTGAGTAATTATCATAATACTATAATAATCATAGTGAGCTTAGTATTGGCAGATCATGAAAAGAGAATTAATTAAAAAAAAAAGTAAGTGTTCTCCGCGTAACCCATACTACTATTTCGTGAGGTGGACAGAGACATGATTTGAATCTTATGGGTTCGGGATTCTAGCCGGTTAATGTTACTGGATTCTGAATTAATAATTAATACATATTCAGTGGATATCTTAAGATAAATATATGGTTTGAGCAAAAATTATTGATTTCGGCTGAACTTGCAAGATCTATGCTAGCTCCGCCCCTGGAGGTGGACCTTTGGTACTTGTCCTACTAATCATAATACTAACTACCTCAGCATTGTATTCTTCAAAATGAATAAAATGTCAGAACTTCCTGTTAATTTCCTCTTTTTGAATCTTAAGAATAGACAGTTTTCTGAGCTGTCTATTTTTCAGTTTGGTTCTTTTCTTGGACTGCACATGATTGATTCAATACTAAGAATGTATCTGTCTAGTCTTTTCTTTCTGCGAATCAGCACATTATATTTAACTCTTTTCCTTACCTCAATGGTGCACATGATCAATTATATTGACCCAGTGTTTGAGTATCTTAATTGTTTCTCCACTGGAGGCAAGAGTATCTATTAAAATATACATTATCATATTGACTAAAACTATACAGTATGAGGTGGAACTATATTTAATTGGCCTTGCAATTCCATAATATTTTTATCCCACCTTTAGCATTTCTCCGATTTCAGTAGAAAAAGAGAGAGGAAGAATTAACCTAAATAGCTGGCCACTCAACTGCTTAAATTAAAATAAGTTGGCGGATGTATAATATATGTGTATCCATGTAAAAAGTTAACAGTTAATTCGATCGATTATCTGTGTAAAGATTCTTGAAAAAAAAAAAACGTTTGAACCATAATATTCTTCCTCTGGCCTTGAAAAATGATTGGTGAAGAATTGAAGATGAATCAGCTGATGCTTCTTAATTTTTCTTCTATCAAATGGGATATGGGAATAGGGTAAAATGGGGAAGGAGGGGCTCTGAACACACGTTGATACCCAATTTTTCCCCGTATATTTTTTATATGCAAAATACTTTCAAAATATATATATATATATATATATATATATATATATATATATATATATATATATATATATATATACGGGATTATTTGAGCAGTACAAAAACCAATAATCGTTCCCAAATTATCCTTTTGGTGATTCAGTTATTGTATTCTCATATTTATACCAATATATAGCTAAGGTAATTTTTGCATATTTTTCAAANATGATATGAAAAACCGAGGATTTGAGATGGTCAGGATTGTGTATTAGGCATGATGTGAGTGATTGAGTTGGCATTGCCTTCTTTATTGGGATACATTCTTACTTGTCTCTATTCATGTTATGTCAGTGTTGCTTTACTTGGTTATCTGTTTTACTTGGCGTCGTTCGTTACTAACCGTGTTCTCCCTTTATTGTTCCTACTGTTTGTATTTTTTTGATTTCTTTCCGCTGTTGATATTACCTCGTTATCTTTATCTCGATATTTTATTATCACATGCTGTTCACTTCATTTGACTAGTAGGTGTCTTGACTGTTCCTCGTCACTACTACACCGAGGTTAGTCTTGATACTTACTGTTGATACCCAATTTTTCCCCGTATATTTTTTATATGAAAAATACTTTCAAAATAGTATATATATGCATATATAAGCATGTCCAAGTATTTTATTATTTTTTTTCAATTTTTAAAAGATTTTAAAACCAATTTATTGCCCTATTTTAGCAGTACAAAAACCAATAATTGTTCCAAATTATTTTTGGTGATTCAGTTATTTTATTCTCATATTTATACCAATATATAGCTAAGGTAGTTTTTTGCACATTTTTATAGATTGATTTGGTATTTTTAAAGCTAAATTGCAATTTTAGCCTATTTTAAGAATTAATTGGGTTGTAATTACAAATTTGATTCCAGTATTTTTAATCTAATATTTATATACTATTAATTAATTTAGCACCTTTAATTTATTTTGCGAAATCGTTTACCGTTTTACAAAATAAAAAGGGAAAAGTGGCTATTTAAAAGTTAGCCCCATTTCATTTCAATTTTAGCCTAAATTAACCCCCCCTAATTAACCCTATTTCAATCTAAAATCGGACCAGCCCAATTCCTAAATTACCCAACCCCTAACCCGTTAATAAAACCCGCCCGACTCCCCTTTTGATCCAGGCCGTTGATCATTTTAATCAACGGCCATAATTACCCCTTTCCTTTTTAATTTCCCAAACACCCTAACCCTAATCACTTTCACCCAATTAGCCGCCTTTGAACCCCTTCGTCTCTCAAACTCTCTTGAACATTCCTGGAACCCTAATCGTCTCCCACCGTCTTCAACCTCGAAACCCACCGGAAACCATGGCTTCTCCGACCATGGGAGTCTTATATTCACCTCCTATCGCTCCTATGTGCTCGATACTTGAAGATTCGAGGCCAGACCTCGAAGGTCTTCACTCAGACCTTCGCCGACTCGAGGTTTCACGGCCATCTCCGGCCTTGCTCCGGCGTATCCTGGTCTTCTGAGCCTGATTCTAACTTCTCCGACTCAGATCGGTGACTTTTCAAAGCCCTCTCATTCTAGGGTTCCGCTGAAACCCTAACCTTTCGAGGTTTTCTTTGATTCTTTTTAGATCTGTTGTATATCTATGCTCTACTTGAGTTTTCAAACGATTTTCCTAATTTTTCTTTTGAAAATTACTTTCAAAACCCTTCTTTTCCGATTTAGGGTTTTCTGGAAAGTGTTTAAGTGTTTCATGATTTCTCTTCTTTGTTATTCGTATTGTTCTCTTATTGTGTTTCCTATATCATCTTCTCGCATGCTTTCTACTGTGTTCTTGTGCTTTTTCTTTTACCATGTTCATGTATGTTCTTTTACTGAGTTTTACACTCCGTTCTTGAATGTTCTTTACTGTGTTCTATATGCTCCACGCTTGTGTTTCTTCTACCATGTTTTCCATATTATGTTCTCATGTGCTTTCTACTATATTCTGGTATTTCTTCTACTATGTCCTGCTATACTATACCTTTCTACTGTGTTCTTTGGTATTTTCCTTGTACTGATCCTTGTTTAGGTTTCTTCTAAGAAAAAACTTTCTTAAGCATGTTTCTTCTACTCTTTCTACTGTGTTTACAAGTTTTCTTATGAGTTTCTGAAAGAAACCCTGAGCTGGTTTCGACTACTTGCCTCCTCATCCCTGTATTTGATTCTAGGTGGAAACCCTAGAATTTGGGGATTCCGCCGAGGTTTGATTATGTGAACTAGGGTTTTGTTTTAGAACCCTTAACTCCTTCAGACTGACTTTGAGTCTCTGAGCTGGGTTTGGACATCTTTTGTGCAATTCTGAACTTTTTGCTAAACGTGAGTTTCCACTGATTTTACAATGGCTCGACAAGTTTCTTTCATGTTTAACGTGTCTGTATGATTTATATGTGATGAATCGTTCTTCAAAAAGGTTTTCAAACTAGTGATTGACTCAGAATTCCTTTTTAATAGGTCTAATTGATTGTTTGGTGATTTTCCTTAAGTTAAAAACCTTTTCCATCTTTCTGACTTGGTTCATTCATACCAAATCTCAAACCTTGTGATTTCTTGGCTGTTAACTGATTTTCTTTCCTTAAATTGTACAACCGTGTATTTCAGAGACCTTGTCCTTAAATAACCTTTATGTATTTACCCTCAATTGCATGCTTTACACAAGTGTTTGATTAATTTCTTTCCTTAATTGTGTTATACCCGTTTGAATTTGAATCCCTTAATTAAAGGGAGTCTTATGTGATTGATTTACAATCAGTCTTCAATTATTTTCTTACCTTATTTCCTCATGACCTCCATACTATAAATACACGACCCCTCTTTTCACTAAACACACACGATTAACACACTTCAGACCTCACAATTTCACAATCTCTCTTGAACTCACACTCACAGTATTCTGTCTTCCTGTTTGCACTTTGGCTTTTACAAGACTACTGCCTTTCGTACTTGTTTCTTTGAAACTGGTATGTTCTAATTTAAGTTTCAGCATCACCCCAATGTGTTTACTTACAGTTTTCTTTTGTATCCATGTCTACTTTATTGTTTTCTGTGGAGTTTGATATTTAGTTTAGTAATGCCTATGTTCTACTGCTTGTTTCTTTATGAATCTTTGCTCCCTACCCAATTACCCCTATGTGTTTGTGAGTGGTGACTCAGGGCATGGCAATATGAGTTGTTGTCCATGAACTGAGTTCTGAACCTTAACCTCCAAACAGGCTGGAGGGTGTGCCAGCACCTCCCATTACTGAGTATGCCTATCAGCCCGCTCTCCTTATGCTCTTGCAAATTCCCACTCCCCTACACCCTTATGTGTGCTGATTTTAAGTTATTCCCCTTTTCCCTTTCCCCTTCCAGAATTTCCTTCTGCACTTACACTCTCTCCTAGTTTCTAAGTTCTGCCCCTCTCTGGTGAGCCTTGCCTTGGACCTTGAGTTCCCTCTGAACTTGGACACCTGAGGGCTGGCCCTTCCACACTGCACTATTGTCCTGATTTGGTAATGCATTTGGGGTGTAAGCACCGCCCGGAGTCCATAAGGCTCTTAGGGAACTCTGACACACCCCAAATGAGAGAAAGGCTTTTGAAATCTGATCTTTGGAGATGGTTTACTTCATACTTCAGACAGAAAGTCTGAATCAGGCTCTCCTTGGTTGTAATTTTCAATCTCTGATGTATTTTTTTTCTTTATTCTCTTTGGGCTGTAATAAACTTTGTAATAAACTTTCGGGG